TGAAAGCCGTTAATGCTCAAGGTAAATATATTTTACTAACATTATCTTTCTTGAATAGAAACACTTTTTGAAACACATACTACATATCATTTGTTGCAGATTTTCGTATAGATCTTGAATATTACATTGGTTTTATATAAAAGATTTTTCAGCATTTAAAATTCAGATATTTTATCTTAGACTCCTATTCTCGAGGATTAAAGCGACTAGACCCTGGACAGTTCCATATCAGTTCCGTTTTTGAGAACTGTTCAAACAGTTCTTTGATAGGAACTGATCTGTCCAACCAGTTCTTTTAAAAGAACTGATCTGTGTCTACCAGTTCTTTGATAGGAACTGGTCCGTCCAACCAGTTCTTTGATAGGAACTGATCTGTTCAACCAGTTCTTTGATAGGAACTGATCTGTCCAACCAGTTCTTTGAAAGGAACTGATCTGTGCCTACCAGTTCTTTGAAAGGAACTGATCTGTCCAACCAGTTCTTTGATAGGAACTGATCTGTGCCCACCAGTTCTTTGAAAGGAACTGATCTGTTCAACCAGTTCTTTGATAGGAACTGATCTGTCCAACCAGTTCTTTGAAAGGAACTGATCTGTGCCTACCAGTTCTTTGAAAGGAACTGATCTGTTCAATCAGTTCTTTGATAGAAACTGATCTGTAACTAGGGGTGAGAAGTTACCGTTCCCAGACCGTTCCTGGGAACGGTAACGATAACGAAAAAGTTTCCAGTCACCGGGAACGGTAACGCCCCGTTCGCAGTTACCCGAGAACGTAGGTAACGGTCAGGGGACTACCTAGCATCATCAATCTCATAGCCTTGGTCCTCACGAACAACTATTGGGGGTACCCTTGTGTCGACAAGCCCACTATTGGAGATACTGTTGGGTCCTCCAATGCTAGTATTAGCAAATACCTTTGGCTCATCAAGTGCTCGTATAGCTGGGTACACTCAGACCAACCAGTGCAACTATTACGTGGTACCGTGCGTTCAAACAATGCAAAATTTGTACCAAACCGTTGTGCCGTCAGGATTAATTGCCAGGGAGGGGGTATCCTTGGCCCAACCACCGCAAAAAGTGGCGCGGTAACGCGGGCCCAATCTATGCAAATTTTGCACCGAAGTGTCGTGCCACCAGGTTGAATTGCCAGAAAGGGGGGGGGGGGGGGTCCTTGACCCAATCACCACAAAAAGTGGCGTGGTAATGTGGGCCCAACCTATGCAAATTTTGCGCCGAACCTTCATGCCATCAGGTTCAATTGCCAGGAAGGAGGGTAGTCTTGGTCCTACCACTGCCAGAGTTACGCGGCAGCCTTTGCCCAAACAGTGCAAGTATCGCGTGGTACCCTTGCCCCAACAATTACTGGTGTTGCCAGTATCCTTGGCCCCTGAAGTCTTACTATTGGGGGGCACCCTGACGTCCTGAAGTCAAAGTATTGGGAGGTACTTTTCGGTCCTCCAGGAGGACCCGAGTATATCCCGTAATGCTAGCACTTGGTGGACCAAGGGTAACCCCGAAACGTAACGGTAACTTCCCACCCCTAGGTGTGAATGCTGAGAGAAGACTTATACGCACACACACCAACACCCAACCCAACCCACACAAAACCCATCCCAAACCCACACCCGGTTCTCGAAAGAGAACTGGTCACTTTACCCAGTTCTTGAAAAAGAACTGGTCACTTTACCCAGTTCTTGAAAAAGAACTGGTCACTTTACCCAGTTCTTGAAAAAGAACTGATCACTTTTACCCAGTTCTTCAAAAAGAACTGGTCACAATAAGCAGTTCTCGAAAAAGAACTGATCACTTTATCCAGTTCTCGAAAAAGAACTGGTCATTTTACCAAGTTCTTCGCCAAGAACTGGTCACGGTAGCCAGTTCTTGAAAAAGAACCGGACGCTTAATCCAGTTCTTCGAAAAAGAACTGGTTGCAATAACCAGTTCTCGAAAAAGAACTGCCGGGTGTGTACAGTTCTTAGAAAAGAACTGCCGGGTGCACACAGTTCTCGTCAAAGAGCTGGTCACTTTAACCAGTTCTGGAAAAAGAACTGGTCACTATACCCAGTTCTTCGAAAATATACAGTTCATAGAACTGGGAACTGTCCTAGGTCTAAAAGCGACGGTTTTCTAAGTTCTCAGAAAAACGATATTTTGAGTAGCTATAAGCGTAGATTTGTAAATTGTCATTGACAAATGTGGATAAAATATTTCTTGTAGGTGAATTAATAACAATAAATAAAACTCATGAAACCGAATTATATTGGGCATTACGTGGTGCTGGTGGAGGTTTGTTTGTTATTGTCACAGAGTTTAAAATTCGATTAGTTAAATCTCCGTCACTCGTTAGGCGTTTTTCATCTATATGGTATCCGAATACAACAAAATTAGTAATGCAACGATATCAATCATTGCTATTTCATGACAAAATATCGAATTTTAGTAATAATCTAGTTTTGGAAATGATTGTGTCGAAGACTCATGTAGAAATTTCAATATTTTATTTTAGTATTGAATTCGACGAATTTAATAAAACTATATCGATACTATTGGCAACGTTGCCAACTCCAAAAACAACTAATTTGGATGAACAAGATTGGTTAACTTTTGTTTATAAAGTATCAGGAACTGATGATGGTAGTGGTGATCGTCAACGGTTGTTACTTGATCGTTTAACATATCCAACATATCATTTTAAAGCCAAACATTTATTTTATGATCGACCAATAATTACTCCTAATCTTGATAAATTTATCGATGTATTAGCATCAAGCGATGGTCAAATTATTATGATGTTTGTTCCTTGGGATGGGTATTTAAGTACAATTTCAGTTGATGAAACAGCATTTCCACATAGACATTTTAAATTTGGTATTCAGTTCATGGTTTATCCTAATCATAAGCAACATGAAAAACAACAAATGAATTGGTTAAATCAAGTATATTTGGCTGTCTACAATGATTCAACAAAACATTCATTTATTAATTACATTGATAGAGATGTGCCGAATTGGATGAATGTTTATTATCACATACATCAACAACGATTAATTAATATTCAACATATGTATGATAAGAATAACCGATTTTATTTTGAAAGAACAATAGAAGAATAAAACGGGAAGATCAACACATTTTGAACTTTCATCTTGCAAGTTTTGCATTTGTCGTATTTTTCATTGTGTGATTCTTTCTTTATTCATGGATTGATCGTGTCTTATTCAATTCAACATTATGAGCAGAACATTGCTATTTCGAAGTTAAAGGTATTTTAGCTAATGGTAATGAGAAAATCGTTCTTGTATTTTTCTGAAGGTAAAATAAACACCACGAAGATTAATAAGGATGGAATATATGAAATATAATAAACAATAAAAAATAATCATGGCTAACGAGCTGGTTCCATAGATCGAGATAAAAATAAGGTTATCAAATGAGAAACAGCTAGTAACATACACAGTAAAATAAGACGTGTAACACTGCCTGCTCATTTTATGTATATGAGTCAGTCGACATTAGCCACGACCGACCCTGCTCAATCGAGGGTTGTCAGATCGGGCTCATTTTATGATATGTTATAGAGGAAAGAGTTGAGGGTGTGGGTGTGGGTGAGTGTGGGTGTGGGTGTGTGTGGGTGTGGGTGTGGGTGTGGGTGTGCGTGTGGGTGTAGGTGTAGGGATGTGCAGTATCAGTATACTGACCACCGATAAACTCACACTGGCGTTCACCGATACGGTGACGGCACTGACACTGAGCGCACTGTCTGCAGTGACACACTGTCACTGAGCGAACTGTCTGCAGTGACGCACTGACACTGAACGAACTGTCTGCGGTGATACACTGACACTGAGTGCACTGTCTGCAGTGACACACTGACACTAAGCGCACTGTCTGCAGTGATACACTGACACTGACCGCACTGTCTTCAGTGACATACTGGCGCTAAGCGCACTGACTACAGTGACACACTGACACTGCGTACCACTGGAGCGTTGAAGACACTGGAACACCGACGTTTACTGATATGCCAGACTTATCTACATCAATAAACGTCAGTGCTCCAGTGTTTTCAACGCTCCAGTGGTACGCAGTGCCAGTGTGGTCACTGTTTCAGTGCACTCAGTGTCAGTATGTCACTGAAGGCAGTGCGGTCAGTGTCAGTGTATCACTGCAGACAGTGCGCTGAGTGTCAGTGTTCCACTGCAGTCAGTGCGCTCAGCGTTAGTGTGTCACTGCGGACAGTTCGTTCAGTGTCAGTACCTCACTGCAGACAGTTCGTTCAGTGTCAGTGCGTCACTGCAGACAGTGCGCTGAGTGTCAGTGTGTCACTGTCAGTAATTCACTGTTTTCATCGAAACTGCACATCCCTATGTGGGTGTAAGAAAGAACTACACCCACGCCCACCGATCCCACACACACTCTTGCACCCACACCCCACACACGCACACCAAAAGCCACATCCACGCACTCACATCCCACACACGCACATCCACGCCCTCACACTCCACACACGCACATCCACGCCCTCACATCCCATAACCACATTCACACTCAAATGTAGAAATAAAAAAGACAGCGTTTGCTGACAATCGATTATCATTGAAAAGGCAGTATCGTCTTTTAGACATTTTTCATTTTGTGTATTTTGTGTATTTTGTGTTAGTATAATGAAGCTAAAGAAGCCATGTGAATGGCACATGTCAATCTCAAAGAGGCTGCACTAACACACTTTTTTTAATAATTATCATAATTTGAAATTTGCATATAGTGCTTTCTCTTTTTCTTCTCGAAAAAAAACTCATTATTCGTGACATAGTGTTTTTTTAGAGATAGAACTCATAGTAGCAGTTTCATACGCAAATTACAAGAAGAAGACATATTTTGTTCTTCAACATTGTTTTGGCAACACTGAGTGAAAAAGTTATTTGTCATATTATTTGAGACTTATGTGAATACTTTACTTCTTTGTTTCTCTTTTTTGATTTACTCACGACTACATTGAACCATGCCTGTTATTCGTAAAAATTATATTCAGCCATCAACTGATATCAATGATAAAAAGTGTGAACTTTTACAGGATGGCACTAGTCTTTTCTCAGTAAGGTCCAAACAAGCTTTGATTCTTTATATTTGTTTTTTCTTATGTACATAGTTTTCATCCATTCTAAATGTTAAATATTCTAATGGTCGAGTGGCTTCCTCAGTTATATCGCAGAAATCGGCTAGGAATACAACACCATCTTCCAATCTTATTGATACTAAAAATTATATTCAACCATCAACTAATATCAATGGTAAAAACTGTGAACTTTCACAGGATGGCAATGACTTTGTCTCAGTAGGTTCGAAACAAGCTTTAATTTTTTATATATTTTTTTTATTATGTAAATAGTTTTCATCTATTCTAAGTGCTAAATACTCTAAAGGTCGAGTGGCTTCCTCAATTATACCACAAAAATCAGCTTCTTCGGTTATACCACAAAAATCGGCTAGGAATACAACACCATCTTCCAATGTTATTGACATTGAACAAAGCTATCAACCGTTTTCTAAAGTAAGAAAGAAAAGCTTTTATATAATTGTATCGTCTCATATCTGCAAACGATTGAATGTATTTCATATTCTAATCTCTACAAGACTATGATTTAGGTTCCTAAGAAAAGAATCAATAAGAGTTTTTCTTTTTTTATTGAACTAAATCAATGTTTTATTTTTCTTTTCAAATAACAGTCAATAATAGTTCAAACAATTCCTACAAGTGAACATACTCACAAACGAAAATCAGCTATGGAGTGAATCATTTTTTCATCCGTCAGGCTATCATATCGCATAACCTTTGAATTTTTTTATAGACGTTCGAAGATCAATCGTCATCGATTTCGACGTATTATACCATGTTTAATTATACTGTTTTGTGTCGTTCTTGTTGCATCTATCGGTGCAGTTCTTGGCGTAGTATACAAACAAGAACTATCAAGAACAAGTAAGAAATTATGAATTGTTTTGCTAAATCAAGCTGAATGCACTGAAAATTAAAGAAATTGAGTTGCTTTAGTTGATAGATTGAAAAAAGTCTTATTATTTAAACTAATCGTAGATAGAAAATTTAGAATAGATGTATGAAATATATACTTTAGAATAAATTATTTTAGAAGAAGCCTTGATAATAAAAACTAATCAAATAATATGAATAATTATTTTATATCTAGAAAATTCTTTTTATACAAAACGAAATATTCTTTGCTCTAATAAATCATGAAATAGGTGGAATATCAGATTAATTATCTTGTCTTTTTTTTAGCTACAACGACAACTAGTAAGTTCTTTGTTTTATATTTAAACTAGTATTGACGTTCGTTTTTTTTATTATTAAGCTACCACATCAGCAAGTGAGTTGATTTCGATAGAATTGTTTTTAATTTTAATTTCATTTTTTTAGCTACAACCACATGTAAGTGTTTATATTTTTTTGTCAAGACAACATTTTTAGACTTGAACTCGACGGGCTCTAATTAAAATTCTTTAAAAAAATGTTCCACTGTTTGAATTCGGAAGGTTAAACTTTTCCTAAAAAACAAAATTCATTTGAAACCAATAGAATAAATACATTATTCATGTATCTCTTATGTATTCAATCAAATAGCCACAACATCGACAAGTAAGACTTTTTTATTTATATCTAAATCCAAATCTTATTTTTTTATCTAAAGCACCATCAACAAGTACAAGTACATCCACTACCAGTAAGTATTAATGTCACTTACAAAAGCTAATCTTCTGTTTTGATACATCAAAGATATATAAATCAATGCCTTGAGAATATCTATATAGAATACACGTGTAAAAAACTAGAGTTCATAATAATAGAATCTCTCATTTGAGTTCATTATAGGAAAAGATTTTGTATTATTAATAGACAAAAAATTAGCGACACTTAATTTTTCTAATATAAAGGCTCGACTACGACAACAACTACGACTACAACAACTTTTACCACTACGACTACAACGACCGACACTACTAGTATGCTTGTTTGTTATTATAGTAATAGAATTAGTAGAACTGAAATTTTGTCAATATTTGTTGTTCTTTCTTATTCAACATTCGAATAATAATTTTAACTTGGAGAGACAACATAAGCATTAAACAACAAGTACAAATAATTGATGATGAGCTGAACAAATATAAGGAGAACTTTTATTTAACACAATTATATATATATATATATTCATGTTTTAATTATAGCAACAACCACAACGGATACAACGACTACAACTACTGCACCAGGTAAGAAACAAATCTTTTATTGTTTAATTATATTCATTCAATACAGCAACACAGCAGTATTAAAAAATTCAAAGATTATTTGAGTTTAGAAAGCAAGAATAACTAATGTCGGCACCAGCAATAGATGGAGAAAACTCGAGAACGAATATCTCGAGAACAGTAGCAACTAGAGACCTGCGATTTTCACCATTGGAAAGAGCGATGTCGGGGACATCGATCGACATAAAATTCATTAGATTCAGAGAGTTTTTTCATGGATAATTTTGGATTAACATTTTGTTCGCTGCCTTTTCTGATTATTTTTCAGTGGAATTTCAATCCAAATTATACCAAAATGTAGTCCAAGACACCATATATTCCTATAAAAATTATTATGTTCTTTAGAAGCCTCATCGAAGAAAAACGTTGAAATGATAATAAAAAATTGTGAAAATTTTAGCCTGAACACGGAGTGTTTGCGGCTACATTTTGACATAATGTGGGTTAAAATTCCTCTGAAAAATGATAAAAAAAAGGCAGCGAACAAAATGCCAATCCAAAATTATTCATGAAAAAACTTTTTGAATCTAATGAATTTTATGTCGATCGATGCCCCGACCTCGCTCTTTCCAATGGTGAAAACCACAGGTCTCTAGTTGCTACTGTTCTCGAGATATTCGTTCTAGAGTTTTCTCCATCTATTTCTGGCACCGACATTAGTTACTATGTAGAGTTGAAGAAAAGTCCTTCAAATGTACGATATAGAGTTAAAAAGTTGTCACTTTGTCTCTTATTTAATGTTTTCTAAAGAAGAATACTATCTCGTCCTATGTATAGCATGCTATTTCGGTGAAGATTATGTCAATCTAGTAGAAGGAGGACGACGTCAAATCAGTAGTTTAAAAACAGGAGATCGGGTCTGGACAATAAGCAATGATGGTAAACGTTTGATCAAAGATGAAATAATTATTATACCGCATGCTGGACCAACTATTCCAAGTTTGTATAACTTCAAATTTAAATCAACTCTTAAAATAATTTAAATATAGCTTATTTCTACACATTTACAACGATCGAAGGACACACAGTTAGCTTGACAGATTCACATTTTATAGTTACCGTTGTCAATGGTGAAAATAAAATAAAAATCATACGTGCGTCAGAAGTAACACTTAAACATCAATTAATCATGGCTGGTCGTACAATAGGTCTTGAAAAAATTGTATACTCTATACATATTGGTTTTTATTCGCCTATTACATTAAGTGGCTACTTAACTGTAAACAATATATCAACATCAGTTTATGTTGACTAGTAAATACTATATAAGTTCATATTTGATATAACTCTATAATTTGTTGTTTTTCTTTCTAAGTTTACACGCACCACACGACTTCCTTCATCAAATAGGAGGTCCTTTTCGAATTTATTATTGCATAACAAGATGGTTATTTGGAAATAACTACATACCATTTGCAATGACTGTGAATGAAGAAATACACCCAATATCCACCTTTATCATTGCTAACTATAAACCAATTCGATTATTTTTTATAATTTTTCCGTTTATGATACCAATAATGTTCATCGTTTTATTTATTTATTTAGTTCAACGAATTTATTTCATACGGAAGGAGTTATTATCGTTTGATAATAAAATGTTGCATGAGTAAATAATGATTCAATCGATGATAGAGTGAACTAAACTATTCGACATTATATTTTTTTATGATTAAACTGTTTTTTTCCTTTTGACAATAAAAAAAGTGTTGTTACAATCACATTTTCATTAAATCTTTCTTTTTCTAACCATACTCAGTACAAATGTTCGACATAGATCAAATTTTTATGACCCGACTGAACCTGATCCGAGTCGAACTCTCGCGTATCAACCATTTTTCTCTTTCTCTTAAGAAAGTCAACTTCTCAATTCCTTTTTTCTTCGTTTCATTTCGTAGTTGGAAACAAAGGATAGATCCTTGAGGCTGTGCATGTGGACAATTGTGTATGACTGATCGGCTTTCTTTCACCGACCTACCCAATTCCACACCCACACCCACCTACACAAAAGTGAAGTCATCAATTGGAGCTAGGGATGTGCGGTGTCAGTGACCAAACCGAAAAAACCGACACCTTTGTCACCGACAGCGACGCTCAGTGCACACCGATAGATTCAGTGTCACTAATCACTGATGCACTGACATCCTCGGCGTCACTGGTGAATCAGGCACACTGACTCCACTAATCTGTTGCAATTAATTGTTATATAATACTGCAAGATATGTGCTTGAAATAAACAAGCAACAACCATAAACTAGATACACGTGTTTTTTCAAGAGAAGTAACCGCTTTATTTTTAGAAACGTGAAGAAGAATAATACATCTTCGTCGAAGAATTAGATAATACGTTATAAGTGAAAATCTTCGACAAAAAAAAACACATAAAGAAATATTGTAGAAAGACGTTTTTGTTAAAAAAAAAAGTAAACGTGCCTTTCTAGATCAAGACAAATAAAATGAAAACGTAGGATAGAATAAAACACATATTAAAGAGAATCAAGTATAGATGGTAATAAACAAAAAAAATATATCTGCACAATAAAACAACTTTTTAGATGATCAGTATCACTAATACTAAATACAGAACAAGAAAATTACTAAAAAGAAACGGTTAAAAATCAGTTCGATTTCAAAAGTTTATTTTGTCTTTCAGAAAGATACTTGACAAAAGATTCTTACTCGTTAAACGGGCACGTCCCTTCCTACCTAAAAATGATGAAATACGGATGAGAATGATATTTTTTCGATACTATATAACTCATATGAATGAATTTATCACTTCATTTTATGTCCGTCAGCTATTAATAATATTTGAAATTTATTTTTGGCATAAGAGCAGATCTTGAGAACAGCGGTCAATATGTTTTTTTTTTGTATGCAGTAACCTTTGATGAAGCTTTATTAGATTTCTGTTAGTAAAATTATGTTCTCGATTTCACTCACATTCAACTTACTAGCGCAGATAAAACCACAAATGAACCGGAAACTGAAAACTTTATTCATGTTGAGGTCTGATTTAGTCTTTTGTACCCTAAAACAGTCTCTTGAAATTTTATAAAATCTCTCCAAGTCTTAGACTTTTAAGAGCTACCTGAAATCTTGAAGTATGAAAGGCTCAAGTGCACTGTTTTCCCATGATGTGTGAAGTGAAAAAGAGCACTACAATTAAAGCGATGTTTAGGAATAGCTTGTGAATAAAACATCTGCTGTTTTCTTATTATAAAAATTTTTCAGTTTTATCTCTATCTGTCTTGTTTTAAATAGGATGATGTTCCCTTTTGTAAAGATGATTTACCCATTGGAGTTCATTCGATTTCCATTTCTGCTTAATTCAAAGCATGTGATCATAGAAGAAAAATGTAATATTACATGTTGAAAACAGCAAAATATCATGTCAATGATGAAAAAAATAAAAGATTCTCTTTTATATATAGTCGTACTCAATTTTTGAATGAGTTGCCAAAATCAATATTTATCTGCAGTTTAACATGTCGATGTATCGTGACAAAATATTAAAAAGTAAAAAATTGTGTTTCTCCACATGAAAGCAAAAAAGAATATTCCAGACTTATTTCTATATTGATATAGTGCATATAAATAACATGAATGGATTATTAAAATTTCCTATACATTGGGACTGATCGATATGAAACCTTGGGCCAAAGCATTTGCTAGAGGTTTCACAAAGGAATATTTTTTAATCTAGTACTTTGTAAAATTTCTCGAAAAAATGATAATGTTCTTTCATAGAGCAAATCTGTCAAAATTGAGAATTTCAAGAATTCCTTAATATCTGAGAAAAAAACTTTTTTTTTATATCGGCAGGAACTACCAAATCATAGAACTCATTCATATACGCAAAAAAGAGCTCAATATTATTTACTCGTTCTCTATTTTAATACAAATTTCACGCGAGATCGTATGTATTCATTTCATCTGTAATACCGTATCATTTGCCATAAGAGTTAAATCGTGTCACTTTGAAATCAAAACCATTGAAAAAAAAAGTTTAAATTCTTCTTTCTTCCTTCCTTCAAATGTAAACACATACAAATGTGTGAAATAGACTGATATTTAACTTTCTCTTTTCTAGTGCAGAAACTAAC